GTATTAATGATTGGAGCCCCATTGATGTAAGGTCTGATCGTATATGTCCATATTTATAAAAATAAATAAAAAGATTACTTGTGTTCTTAAATTTTTCTTTGGTTCATTTTTGTTCCTTAAGTATCTTTTGTACATATGTTTCTTTTTCATGGTTTTCATTGCATGCATTCGTTCCTAGCCTTTAGGATCTTTCTATCTTTTTTTGTTCTATGTTTCTTTTTGCCATCTAGAAATCGTCCTGTTTGTCCGGTTCTTGTTCTTTCTTGAGGACAAGAAAGGTCTAAGATTGGGGAGATTTGTTAGGTGCAATTTGTGCACCTTTTTGCACACCTTTTAGTCCCAATTCATGCATCTATTTAGCATAATTGTTCTTCCTTTTTCTTGCATTTCATCATATTCATGTTAGTCTCTAGAACAACCTTATTTGCACACTTTTATGTCTTTTTCAGGTAACCCGGATGTTGGAACGCGCTTTGGGAAGTGCCGGGAAGCATTGGTGAAGATTCCGGGATGATCGGGCGAAGAACGGAAAAGTTAGAAAAATCAAGTTTGGAATTGGAGTCAGAGGGGTACACGGGCCGTGTTGGATTTACACTGCAAAATCAACACGTGCCGTGTTGACCAAAATGGGAGCTGTTGACCATGTTGAACACGGGCCGTGTCAGTTTAGTGCAAATCAACACGGGCCGTGTTGGCTGCTGAACACGTGCCGTGTCAGTTTAGCCTATTTTAACACGGGCCGTGTTCGACCCAAAAACCAACTTTTGGCAGTTTTTCCTATCTTTCATATTACGGGTTGAGGGCCATTTGGAGATACACAGAACATATCAGAGGACATTTTGAGAGGGGATTTCGAAGGTTTTTGCAAGGATTTGATCATTTATCATTTGGAAACATTATTTCTCTTATTTGTAAGTTGTAATTGTACATTAATTCCGACTTTTGTTCTTGAGATCTTGTTCTAGCCATGTGTGGCTAGAACCCTAGTTTCTCCAACTTCATGTCTTGACTTCTTAGTTGTGATTTCAATCATATGACTTGATGTTTGCTTTTAATTTCTATCTAGTGAATTTGATTTTGCTTCAATCGAATGTTTGATTCTAATTGTGATTCTTATTGGCCATTTGAATTAGGGTTAGGTCATTCAAGTTATCTCTTTTACAAAATCCGTAATTGTTTTGTGAAATTGAACAAGTAACAAGCACTGAACTGATTTCCATTGAATGAATTTAGTGTAAATCTTATTCACACATTCTTACGCTCCCGAGCTTGTGAGGAGTATTGGGTGTTGTTGGGAACATTCACATAAAGTTTAATGCAATCTTTCAATCTAATTCTAAGAGCGTGTTTAGGTTGGGTTAGTAAGGTTAGGGTTAATCAAAGAGCTTGTTTTGGTTAATTAATGTGGTGAATGGGAAGTGTTAGAGCTTGTTAACACTTTCAAGTACCAACTTAGATAGAATTGAGCAAATATCATGTTATCTCGGAATCACATTGCTAAGTTGTCATACATGAGGTTGGAGTCCTTACCATTTCTGAATTTAATTCACTCTTTTAGTTGATTACTTGTGTTTTTAATTGTTTGTTTTAATCATTGCATTCTAAACCCCCCTCTCTTTACTATTGGTGACCATAGTACCTTGTGCAAAGAGGTATAGACCAATTGTCCCGTGTCTCTGTGGATTGACCCTACTTGCCTTGTACTACCTGTTAGTGCAATATAGTAGTGTTATTTTGGAGTATATCGTACCCCTTTATTTGTTGGGTCTGACACACCCTAACATGCAACTTGCAGGCAGCAGACAACAAATTTTATGTTCATGATTTAAGAAGACTTATAGACTCCAAGATCACGACCTCAAGCAACAACCCCACAATCTAGTTTAAATTGCCCCCTCTTAAAGTTATCAGATTTGTTTGGAGAGCCTGTTAAGACTGCATCCCTTTAAGTATTGCTTTACAACTTCGAGGTATAAATGTCTCTTCCACTTCGTGCCATTTTGTCATGGAGGTTTGGATTCTACTGATCACTTGCTTGCTGGATGCTCTTTTGCTCGCAATGTCTTATCCTGGATTTTTAATTGGTGCGGTATTCCGATTCAAACCTTTGGAACGGTAAAAGTGATTCTCGAGTTTGCAACCAAATGGGGTCAATGCCCAAAGAAAAGAAAGACGTTTTAGCCATCATCTATGACTATCTTTGATGTGCTTGGCGTGTTCGGAACAAAAAACTTTTCAACAAGATCAATTTTACACCTCCTAAAGTGGCAGATTATATCATAAGCATGACGTTTAATTGGGTTAAATTTAGAGGCAATTTGGGTATTTATAAATGTGCAGATTGTATTTGTAGCCCTTTTGTTGTTTCGTAAGACCAGTGTTTGTTTTCTTTGCCTCGCCTTCTTCTCTTAGTCAGGGCTTTGTGATTTTTTATAAAATTTTGCTTGTTTTAAAAAAAATCATTTTTGCAGTTTTATAATTTAATTAATTATTCACATAACTTGTACGATTTGTACAAAAAAATTGTAACATTAAGAATCATGTTTTCAAATAGAAGAATCAAATACAATAAAGTTACTTTGACTTTGTTACGTATTTAGGTAAATTACAAAATATATATCTTGCGATCTGAAAACCAATAAAATTACGCCAACTATTCGTTTTGATGGAATGACATGTGTGCACATCAAATTTGATTGAGGTACACGCGCGCTCTTCGAAGCGTGGGATTGATGTTCGATATACTGTTTCGAGTAGCCGTTGAGACACATGGTTGGTGAGATAAAAGCGTTATTAATCTTTGTATAAATGCATTCATGGTGTATTTGCATTTTGGGGCTTACACTTTTTTAGAATATTTTACATTAATCCATATAGTTTTAGAATATGGACTTAAGTCTTTAGACTTGCATTTTAGTTTTCAAAGACAATGCTTTGACAAGAAGGCATTGCCAAATCACTAACTATCTGAAATTAAATATCTTTTATTTTTGTTTCTATTGTTCTTCTATCTATTTTAGATGGTGACAAATATCATTTAATTTAATTTAAATTTAATTGAAATGTTAAATTTATATATTTATCATCATCTTAAATAGGTAGAAAAAAAAGTAGAAACAAAAGATAGGAGAATATTTAATTTCTCAAAAAATACACAAACTTATTTCAATTTGTTTACATAATAACTTAACTCAAATCTCGGCCATTTATTTGGCCAAAACAAAATTATATGTTTAAGAAGCTATTTATATTTAAAATTTGTACAAATTTTGTTTATAGCTAAACATTATAGCCTCATTTTAGGATATTTATATGTACAACAAGTTTTTTCTATATAATAATATTAAACTTCGAATAAAAATAAAATGAGAAATATACCTTTGTCTTTCTATCTGCACCTACAAAAATATCAACGAATATCTCTACAAAATCCTTCATAACATGTGAATGTTATCCGCAAACCCTATGTAAACCCCAAAACTTGTCTTGTGGAGAGTCATGAACCCAAAACACACAACTAATACCTTATCATCAAAGACATGTTGGTTTTTTTTTGGAACGACAAAGTTAGTCTCCTAATTAGTGGTTAGTGGATTTGAGTCGTGCGGTGACATCCAAGCGGGCAATATGCCTTCCTCAAATCCTCTCCTTTAAGGAATAAACCCCACTTCGCTTCTCCTAGGGAAAAGCCCTCAAAGAGACTCGAACTCAAGACCTTCAAGGGAAAACCCCCCAAGGTCACCTTTGGTGGCCGGTTGATCTAGACCAAGTGGTTAGACATGTTGGTGTACCAACGATTACACTTTTTCTCAACGAGCTATTTCATAGACACCTTTGCTTTATGATGCCAATATAGTCTTATATATGCCTTCAGATTACCTATCGTAGATGTTTCTTGCTCTCCATGAACACGACATGTTCTTTATGTCCAAAATCCAACTTGAAACAAATATAATCCATTTCAAATTTTATTACAACAATTACATACATTAGTCTATACATTATTCACAAGCATTTCATTAAAATATATAACTTACATAAAAGATAATAGGTGTTCACATGAATAAAGTAAAGAGTTGGAAATTTTCTTTTACCTCATATTTAAATGGTAAGATCTTTGATTGTGAATGAGTTGTGTATCTATATAAAGTTTGTTGTTATATAATGGTCTTAGGCAATTGATTTTTAGATATGAGTTATCCTTCTCAAAATATTCAACTAATTAATGAACTAAAAACATTAACCAACTTTTCATGTTGGGTCTTAATCAATTGTTTTTGTCGGTCATCTTACAATAACACAACCAATGTACCAAACTATTATTTGTTAATGAAACATTTTCAAAAAAAAAAAAAAAAAAAAACAAAAAAAAGCTTAAACTATTACATCTACATATATAACTTGCCAATATAACCAAGGGTCATAAAAATAGTTCAAACATCAATTCATACATAACTAAAAAACAAGCCTCTTTACAATGAAGAGTCTAATATTGATTAACACAATAATCATCCTAGCTCCGTAATATGCTCGTATCAAATATATATTGTTGTTACCTTATTCAAGATGTCATATTTACTTTATGACTTGTTGTTTTTTTTCTAAATATATAACACGTTTAGTTGTTTTTTTAATACGATATCACATTTCTATTAAGAAAATGAAATAAAAGGAACTACTAACTGACGATATACATAATTTTCAAGATAAATCCCTTTCATAAATATAAACATGGAAAAAATAAAAACAAAACACATGAGGTTTAATCCATTGTTTTTTCATGTCTGTTTTTTACATAGAACGAGATAATACATAATAAAATATGACAAATTTGTACTGTATTTGCGTACATCAAAGTGAGACTGAGATTGAAATCAATAAGACTAACACAACTTTAAAAACTACAAGGGGCTTCATTAACTATGTCAAAACAACAAGGGCATATAACCAAAACTTTTGCCTTTATAGTAGTTATTATTTTTATTATTATTATTGATGATGGTCTTTGAGTAATTGAGTTGTCGCTCTATACGACTATCAAGGGACAACTCGCATCACTTTTCTTTATTTCATTGTAAAAAATAGACGAACAAAACGTAAGCATTATACTCCATTCACCTGCTGTCCATTTTCTCTTTCCCCTTCCGTTTTCGTCCCTTTCAATTCATCCAAAAAATCTTTCGAGTTGAAAACAACACTGTCATACATAATAATATCTTAATATATTAATTATTATGTTTACGTATTAAGCATGCGTTTATGCAGTTTCTCCACTTAAAATCTCCAGAATGTTCTTTTAAGATATGATTCAAGTCTGAAGCAATCTTCTGCTACGCTCTCTGATCTGGGTTTTTCTTAAGTTGGGTTTGAACTTCAATTTTACCCTAAAGAGTAAGCTTTTTCTTGAACCCTTCTGTATTTTTCATCAAAAATTCAATCCTTTGTTGAATTTTGTTTGAATATGTCTTTTAAGAGTCATATATTAAGAAACCCCTTGAATTTCTTATATAGATTTCCCTTGAATATATATTATTTTTCAAGATAAATTAAACCTTTTTGTTGAATCTTTATCGTCAGCCAGTAAAAAAAGTTGGGATTTTGTTGATATTTATCATCATTGTTGCTATTGTCGGCGCTAGTTCTCAGATTTTTAGAACATTTTCTTTATCGATTTACATCATACAAGCTTGAATGAACTAGAAAAGAAGGAAATATGAGCAAAGTTTCTTCAAGATTTACGTTTTCCCTTTTCATATGAACCCTTTTTCTTGAAACCTTTAATTTTTATCTACTTATGTTCTTCATAGATCTCGATTATGAGTAAATATGTATCAAGATAGTTTAAACATCAATTTTATCATATTCCCATATGAACAAACTCATCAAGAATTACAGATTTTCTTCAGATACCCAGAAATTGTTTCAATATATCAACAATTTTAACCAAGAATTTGTTGATCTATGCTAATTTTAAACAGGTAAATGGCTACGCTAGCAGATATCGGACTTTCGGCAGCCATTAATATCATTACTGCTTTTATTTTCCTGATTGCTTTTGCTATCCTTCGTCTTCAACCTTTCAACGATCGAGTATACTTTCCAAAATGGTATCTCAAGGGTTTAAGATCAAGCCCTGCAACTTCTGGTGCTTTTGTAACCAAGTTTATCAATTTGGATTATCGGTCGTATCTGAAATTCCTTAATTGGATGCCGGATGCCCTAAAAATGCCTGAGCCTGAGCTAATTGATCATGCTGGTTTGGATTCCGCGGTGTATTTGAGGATTTACTTGCTCGGGTATAAATAATTTTACTACATATTAGGCTTGATTAAGCATTTTTTTAACTATGTTTCGTCATCAGGATAAACGGTTTTTAAAATATATTGGAAAAGATGACAGCACACTAAATGGAAAGACAAATAAAAGTGGACAACTTTGTAAAAAGTTTGTCCTAAATTTCTGTCCCCATTAAAACTTTACAATTTGGGTTATTTGAGTTGATTGATTGCTTCTTTTTCGACCCATTGGAGTAAAAAATAACTCAAATCCACCCATTTTTAGATAAATGGATTGAATTTTTTTGCTTTTTTTAATCTATGACTTGTATGTATGCAGGTTAAAGATATTTATTCCAATACTTGTACTTACATGGGCAATTTTGGTGCCTGTTAATTGGACAAATGACACACTCGATAAGCTAAAAGGGGAAGCAACTTATAGTGAGATCGATAAGCTTTCTATATCAAACATTCCTCAAGGCTCTCACAGGCAAGAAAATGATCCCCCTGTTTCCTTCTTTTTTTCAAATTAGGGTTTATAGTATGCCAATTTCAATTTCATTTGATGATTGTAGATTTTGGACTCATGTGATAATGGCATACGCTGTTACATTTTGGACATGCTTTGCGTTAAAGAAAGAGTATGAGACAGTTGCAAATATGCGGTTGCATTTTCTTCAATCAGAAAAACGTCGTCCTGATCAATTTACAGTAAGTTGAAAAGGGCAAAACGGGAAAAATGCACAAAAATATTTCTTTTTTTTTGTTATCTAAAATTTATAAATTGATTTTTCTCAGGTTCTTGTGAAAAACGTGCCACCAGATGCTGATGAATCCGTGAGTGAGGCTGTGGAGCATTTCTTTCTAGTCAATCATCCTGATAACTATCTTACTCATCAGGTTCAACATTCTTCTCATCTTAAATTTTTTAACTCTCATTCATATTTTCATATTATATATTTGTAATAATGTAAAATAGAAGAATCTTGTTGACAATAATCGATGCTAATGAAATAATTTTGGAATGACACTTTTCGAAAGAAACTTTGGATTTATTTTTTGATGCAAAAAAAAGATGTATTTCTTTCGAGGTAGTTGGGGTATCATTTTTTTTGTATAAAAATGATCTTTCTTTAATCATAAAATACAACTTATTTGCTAAAAAATAATTTGCAGGTTGTGTTAAATGCAAACAAGCTTGCAAAATTGGTTGAAGAGAAGAAAAGTAAACAAAACTGGCTTGACTATTATCAGAATAAGTTTGAAAGAAATCAAGCAAAACGACCCATAATGAAGGTATGATATATGTTATGTATGTATGTATGTATGTATGTATACAATATTTAACTGTGTTTTGTTGATTTACAGACTGGTTTTCTTGGACTTTGGGGAGAGAAAGTGGATGCTATACAACATCACATATCTGAAATTGAAAGGCTCTCAAATGAAGTAAGTAATGATATCTTTTTTCCTAGAAAATATGATTACATTTTTGGTCCCTGAGAATTCCCGATTTCTGCAATTTTCGTCCCAAAAATTTTCTCTTACAGTTTTGGCCCTTATTTGAGGTTCTTTTAACGTTTTTGGTCTCAAAGTATAATTGAGTTGGTTTTTGCATTTCCCGAAAAGTTTTCTCTTTCAATTTTAACGTTTTTGGTCCCTAAGCATAGCCGATTGTTGCAATTTTGGTCCCAAACTAGTGATTTTACTTGGAACAAGGACCAAAAAAGTTACAAGAACCACAAATAAGGACCATGATTGCAAGAGAAAGAAAAAAACAGATGTAATACGTGACAAAAAAAAATGTAACTTACTCTTGATTTTATCAGAAACGTATTTGATAAATGTTTTGTAAAACGTACAGATAGCTGATGAGAAAGAAGATGTTGTAAATAACCCTAAAGCAATCATGCCAGCAGCTTTTGTGTCGTTCAAAACCCGTTGGGGGGCTGCGGTTTGTGCTCAAACACAACAGGCCCGAAACCCGACCCTGTGGTTGACTGAGTGGGCCCCAGAACCGCGTGATGTTTATTGGAAAAACCTCGCGATTCCATACGTCTCATTGACTATCCGGAAGCTTCTAATGGCAGTCGCCTTCTTTTTCCTCACCTTCTTTTTCATAATTCCTATTGCTTTTGTGCAATCGCTTGCAAACATTGAAGGTATTGAGAAGGCTGCGCCTTTTTTAAAGCCACTTATTGAAGTGTAAGTTCCTTTCCTTATTGCAATAGGAAGAAGTGAAAGTACAATTCTTTAATAAACAAATCAACAAAACTAGGTTGCATTTATTGGACTTACTTTTTGACAAAATTTATGGTGAATGTTATACAGGAAGACAATCAAGTCATTTATCCAAGGTTTTCTACCCGGGATTGCTTTAAAGATCTTCCTCATACTTTTACCTACAATTTTGATGATAATGTCAAAATTTGAAGGGTTTTTGAGTATATCACTTCTAGAAAGAAGATCTGCATCAAGATATTACCTTTTCAACTTTGTCAACGTGTTTCTTGGGAGTGTGATTGCAGGGACTGTATTAGAACAACTAAATACGTTTCTAGATCAGTCTGTGAATAAGTACGTCTCATAATCAACAAAATTAACAAAATTAATGTTATATTACAAGTGATTATTATCTGATTTTTGGTTATATGTTTATGTCTTATAGGATCCCTGAGACAATTGGAGTAGCGATCCCAATGAAAGCAACTTTTTTTATAACATATATAATGGTCGATGGTTGGAGTGGAACTGCAGGAGAGATTTTGAGGTTAAAACCGCTGATAATTTATCATTTGAAGAACTTTTTCTTGGTTAAAACTGAAAAAGATCGAGAAGAAGCCATGGATCCTGGAAGCATTGGTTTCAACACTGGGGAACCTCAGATTCAATTATATTTTCTAATCGGTCTTATTTATGCTGTTGTCACTCCGCTTCTGACTCCTTTCATCCTCGTTTTCTTTGCCCTAGCGTATGTTGTTTATCGTCATCAGGTAATTTTTTTTTTCCTTCGTGATTTTGATTGAATTGCAATTTTTATTGCGATTGAAAGATTACTAATGAGAATAATTACGTAATGTAATACAGATTATAAATGTTTACAACCAAGAATACGAAAGCAGTGCAGCATTTTGGCCAGATGTCCATGGAAGGGTAGTTTCGGCATTGGTAATTTCGCAGTTGCTTTTGATGGGATTGTTGAGCACAAAAGAAGCGGCTTCATCAACTCCATTCCTTCTTGCACTTCCGATTCTCACAATTGGATTCCATATGTATTGTAAAGGTCGCTTTGAACCTGCGTTTGTCAGATACCCCTTACAGGTAATTTATACTTTTCGTAAAAAGACCCTTTTACCCTTTTTAGGATGGGTTATCATCGTTTTTTGTGTCTGATGAAACAAATGTTGACGTTGACTAGAAAAGACTCTTACCCTTGTATCTATGCAACAAATGACGTGAATGCCCTCATCCTCATCGACGTAAATAGCCATTGGAAGTGTCTTTTGAAGTTGAAAAGACACTTTTACCCTTTGTCTGTCAATATAAAATCTATTTTTTGGGGTATGTGTTTTCAGGAAGCCATGATGAAAGACACTCTTGAAAGAGCAAGAGAACCCAACTTGAACCTAAAAGGGTACCTTCAGAATGCATACGTCCCTCCCATTTTCAAAGAAGCTGATTCCGATTCCGATTCCAATTCTGATTCCGATGATGAAACGAATGATCAGAAATGGCAGAAGGACAACGTGTTGGTACCCACCAAAAGACAGTCTAGGAAAAATACGCCCGTGCCTAGCAAAATGAGTGCGGGCTCATCACCAAACCTACCCGAGATTCGAGAAAAGGATAAGCCATAAGTATTTTTTATTTGGAGGGGTAGGTTGTTTTCAAGGGTAATATTGTAAATTTTACTTGAGAGCAGATATTATTTATGTGCTCATCACCAAACCTACCCGAGATTCGAGAAAAGGATAAGCCATAAGTATTTTTTATTTGGAGGGGTAGGTTGTTTTCAAGGGTAATATTGTAAATTTTACTTGAGAGCAGATATTATTTATGTGCTACTTGTGTATAGTAAGAGAGATTTTTTTCAAGAAATGCAACCAATGGATGGATGGATGGTAGAGCTTTTGCATTGGAGTAAGGAGGTGGTACAGAATGGTTGTAAATTGACTAATATAACCTTTTGTTCAAGTTTTTAATTTAAGAAAAAAACGATTTACCAAACATATTTTTTTCGTTCATAAAATACACACGTAAAATTACGTAAAGAAGTCAATGAGTTGAAGGGTAATATTGTAAATTTACTTGAAAGCAAATACGGTACGTTACTTTTCTTGTGTAGTAAGAGATATTTTCATAAATGTGATATGTCCTGTTTAGTAAGGCAAAACATTAAATATTGACACTAGACAATAATTTCTAACATTAGCCAATGGGGCTTCACAAGATTAGTGTTGAAGGTACCCATCATCTTTGAGCATCCAAAGGGAAGAACTAAGTAAAAACTAAAAATGATTCCTAAATAAACTTTAAAATAAAATAGACTATTATATGGAAATCTTTAAATTGGTCATTTCAAAAAGTTTTGACTTGGTTTGATAATGACCATCTTTATATATGTGACTTTAGTGTCATAAGACATGAGGCCTTTTAGTAGAATCAAGAAGACATGAGGCCTTTTAGTAGAATCAAGATCGACTATTATTACAAGCCGGATTTATCTTTACCTACAATACAAGGTGCGTAATACAAATTCAGAAAGCTAAAGTGAACTTAGGAACACGGGGTTTGGAGAGTAGTGCCTTTGGCATAGTTCAATGACAATGTGTCAGAGCCTCATAGCCCCCGGTGATGGTAGATCCGTATGCAATGGATTTATCTGTTCATTTGCAATAGATTTATTTGTTCGTTACTTTCTCGACAAAACCTAATCATTGTGTGTCAGATTTTGGTTTAAGAATATCAATATAAACTTGGATAATTCTTGAATCGTGATTGCAATCACTTTCTAAAATCTGTGATTTCAACCATTTTGCCTGGGGTATGACGAAACCTGACAATTTAGAAGTCAGACCGCTTCCAAATGTGAAACATAGAAAATACCTTTATATTTTGCGTTTTTGAGAGATAGACAAATTCTATTGATAAATTTTCGTATGGAAAATCCAATTATTTTCTAGAACATTCACTATGTTCTTATACAGGGAAAAAAATGGTTAAAAGGTTATTACATCTATTTTGGCGCCAAAAGTATCGTTTATAAGACAACTATTTCTTACACCACAAAGATGTCACAACCTATGTTTGGCGGGAAAATGCATGTCCAAACTCTTTCTTGATATAGAAAGAGTCCAATTCTTAAAACCTATTAGAACGTTCACTATGTTCTTAAAGGTTTTACATCACAATGATGTCACAACCCCGCAAGGGTGTTGCCCCTTGACCATGTCTGCCGATTGGTCAGCGGAAGCACCGCCAGGTGCTTTGCACCTTGGACCCTACAAGCGGCGCTGCCCCTTGGAACCTTGTATCTAGGGGCGCTGCACCCGGACCCCCGTATTCTCGAGCTCACATTTATCACTCTGAGTGTGCACCCCGCACCTGCAACTTCGGTGAATAAATAGAGCTCGACCTATCTAAAAATTAATAACAACTATACTAAAATATGTTGATAATATTTAAATCACTAACATTGTGTTTGTTCCTAATAAACACAATTTTTTCCCACCAAATAACTAGAAATAACTACCCTTCGTTGTATATCTATGATTTCCGGTTATTGTAGGTTTACTTCTTTCTTATAACCTTACTTTACAAAAATATTGCTTCAAAGAACATACAACGAAAGAAAGGTATTAGTATTTTGATCAAGGATTTTGACTGAAATCTGGATTGTGTTACCCAGACAATAGGGTTAAAATTACAAATTAAAAAAAATATTTTGATACACAATCATTAAATAATCCAAGTTATTGTGATTCCACTTTTCTAACACTTCATTCAATAAACCCAAACTAATAATAGCCCAGTTGAAACTCAGATAAGGCCCAAACATTTTTTAGCGCCAATATTATCCACTTCTGCTCATCCCCATCCCCAAACACACACTCCTTCCAGTTCTTTGGTAACAGAATGATTCAAATTCAGTGGCTTCTTCCTCCGCAACCACTCACATCTTCTCTACACCACCACCGCCGGAGTCTTTTATTCTCCTCCCGCCGACGGTCTCTACCTCCTAAGCCCTCCTCTACTCTTACCTTCTCCAATGTTTCAACAAAGTACTTCGGGTTTCGAGTGTGTAATTGTGTCAACAGTGAGAGCATTACTGAAGAATCAAATGAAGTTGTTAAGGTTAGGGCATATCCATTTCACGAAATCGAGCAGCGGTGGCAGAAATTTTGGGATGAAAATCGAACTTTCCGTACACCTGATGACGATGAACTTGACACCTCTAAACCTAAATTTTACGTTCTGGATATGTTTCCTTATCCAAGGTATGTAAATCGACTGAGCATGATGACAACTTCGAAATCACATCAATCCGTCCGTTATCCTGTTTGTTCATTATCTTATTGGAATGATAGTATCCCTTTTTGTAAATTGATGTACACATTTATTCAGTTTCTTACTTATCTTTGTTGCAGTGGAGCTGGTTTACACGTTGGCCATCCTCTTGGATACACAGCCACCGACATTCTTGCTAGATTTAAACGGATGCAAGGTTTCAATGTTCTGCATCCAATGGGATGGGATGCATTTGGTTTGCCTGCTGAGCAATACGCCATTGAGGTATTGTATTTGTTATACCTTTTAACAAATAGATTTATAATCTGCTCCACATTCTTATCATTGCTTGATGTTTTCCAGACAGGTACTCATCCAAAGATCACAACCATCAAGAACATTGACCGATTCCGTACACAGGTAATTATTCACTCTGTTGAATAGGCTTTTTCCATGAGTTGAACCTGTAACCTCATATATGTAGACAGACACATACAAACACATAGCCTGTAGGATGTGTTTGTTTCACATATTGTTTTACAAAAAAATTGGAATTTGTCAAAGGAATTGGGATTTGAAGGAACTGGAATCTTTCATGCATTTGTTTGGCTGGAAATGTAATGGAATTCAATTCCATTCCTTTGTATAGTTCTGTTTACTTCACAAATCTATTTAGAGGATTTGGAATGTACATAATGGCAAATGACAAAATTGCCCTTTATTGATAAACTACCCTTTTTTTTTATGTCTATCTCATGAGAACCCACACTTAGCATAGTGTATTACTCTCTTAACTATTCAAGATTTTATTTTTTGTCAATGCATTTGATCTCCAAATTATTTTTCAGCTTAAATCTTTAGGCTTCTCATTTGACTGGGAGAGAGAAATTTCCACAACAGAACCTGACTACTATAAATGGACACAATGGATCTTTCTACAGCTTCTGAAGAGAGGACTGGCATATCAGGTCACATTTTTTTTTTCTTCACTGTTTCTTGAGATATCTAAAATAGGGACATTGTCATTATTGTGAAATCTTGGATTCTTTTCTTCCATTGCTATATAACTTCATATTTTCTGCTGATGTGGCGGGTTCATTGGAATAAAACTGAAACTTGGTTACTATTTAGAAAAATTTTCAATAATCATATGTCCACTTCAGCGCCACCTCATCCTCTTTCTTGCAATCTTTAGGCTGAGGTACCAGTCAACTGGTGCCCAGCTTTAGGCACTGTGTTGGCAAATGAAGAAGTGGTGGATGGTGTTAGTGAGCGAGGTGGTCATCCAGTTATAAGAAAGGTATGCTTTTTTACTTTTTACATTTTTGTTTTTTTAGAGTTTTGAAACTTTTCTTATGCATTTTTATTGGATGTTTTATAATTTTACAGTTGATTGTTTATGACCAATAAGCAGCCAATGAGGCAATGGATGCTCAAGATCACTGCATATGCAGACAGACTTCTTGAAGATTTGGATGATCTTGATTGGCCCGAGAGTATTAAGGAAATGCAGAGGAATTGGATTGGAAGATCACAAGGGGCAGAAGTGGAATTTCATGTTTTGAGTAAAGATGGAAAAGTTACAGATGCAAAAATTACTGTTTATACCACAAGACCAGATACCATATTTGGAGTAACGTATTATCTTTGTCCTCCTTCTTTCCTCATTAGGGTTAAATGCAAGAAATAGCAATGTAATTTCATTGAAATTACTTTGCTATTTTTGGCATTTATCCATTTTAATTATATACAATACGAATGAAATTATTTTCATTTCTTGATCTTTTCATGCAGTTATTTGGTGTTAGCACCAGAACATCCATTGTTATCATCTTTAGTATCTGAGGCCCAAAAAAATATTGTAACACTTGTATACCCTTTATGACACACAATTTTTGGCTTTTATTTTTTTATAAAAATCTTTAGAGGAAAAGTTATCTTGTGAACAGGTGGATGAGTACAAAGAAGTTGCTTCTAGAAAGAGTGATCTTGAGAGAACTGAGCTTCAAAAGGAGAAATCTGGAGTCTTTAGTGGTTGTTATGCTAAAAATCCAGTTAATGAAGAAGCTATCCCTATATATATTGCTGATTATGTTTTAGGGAGGTGGGTTTTCATTTCTTTATTTCTTTATTTCTTTATTATACTCCATCTTATTTTCATTTCTTTCTAATTTATCTATTTGTTTGTTACAACATTTGCAGCTATGGGACAGGAGCAATAATGGCTGTTCCTGCTCATGATTCACGTGATCATGAGTTTGCATTAAAATATAATCTCCCAATTCATTGGGTGATAACTTCAGATGAATGTTGTGATGATTTTGAAAAACCTTATTCTGGTGAAGGAAATGTCATAAATTCATCAAGTTCAACATCTGGGCCTCACATTAATGGATTACATAGTAAAAAAGCTGCTGTTGAAGTCATTAATTGGGTTGAGAAGACTGGAAATGGAAATAGAAAGGTGATACAAATTGCTTTGTATTTGGATGACATCGCTGTAATTGAGTAGAATTCACATGTGAAAATTTTATTCTTTCTCAGATAAATTACAAGTTGAGAGATTGGCTTTTTGCTAGACAACGTTATTGGGGTGAACCAATTCCGGTTGTGTTCTTGGATGAAAATAGTGAAAGTGAAACTCTTCCGATTCCGATTCCGATTCCGGAATCTGAACTTCCACTTACTCTTCCTGAGCTTGATGATTTCACTCCAACTGGC